CCCACTATCACTGCAAACTCATTCACGCACAAGTTACCATACCTGCTCTCAACCTGTTGTGTATTACGTACGGTCGACATCGTCGGTCACGACGGTGCAACTGTTGTGTAACGGCTTGAACAGTGTCTGGGGCCCAAAAGCGAAAATAGAGAGAGTGAGGTCGATGACTCGGCGCACTTTCCTCGTCATAAACAGTCTGAAGCGTTTACATCTTTCACGGTGCGCTTAAAGCCGTAGCTTAGAAGGTTGCCCACTAACGGGTTAGCTCGGGTCCCGCAGTCAGCCCAGTGTTGTGTGTTTATATGAAGTGGCCGACTGGTGGACTGGGAGACAGGCTGCACTGGTTCCCTCTTAAAGTGACCTCTATGTCATTCCCACCCAGTGGGATCCCAGCCGCCCCACCCTCCTCTGGTTGCGTATGAAATACTTGTCGAGTATGTGTGGACTGCGGGGTGTAGTGGTACGCCTATATTCCGATATGCACCATGCCAATCATCTGGGCCCTCTCTAGCTTCTGGTCTTCTTGACTCAGTCTTGGCACCGTGCACAGATGGGGGACAAGGAGAGGGTGCGATAGATGCTACACAAGTCTACTTTCACCATAAAAAAGTCCCGCTCAATTCGCCGTCCTTGCTCCCACACTACTTTGGAGCTCACGGTAAGCATCGTCGGTCACGACGGTGCAACTGTCGTGTGTGTGTGTGTGTGTGTGTGTGTGTGTGCGTGCGTGTATGCATTCACGGTGCGGCAAGCACCGTGGCTTGGAAGGCAGCCGACTGACATCCCAACTCAGTCCACGCAGTCCGCCCAGTTGTGCGCATGTATGTATGGGGTGGCAGACTGGTGGGCTGAGGGCCAGGCTAGATCGGCTCCCTCCCAACGTGACCTGCGGCACTCTCACACATGTGAGGTGTATGCGGTCCAACCCTCGTTCTGTGAAATCCTGGTGCTTGTATTTGCGGGGCCAGGTCGTGCATGTAGCGCGCGCAGACAAGGTCACCAGATATGTCAGCCACCACGCCCATTCCCGGCACATGTCAACCGACCGGCTCGCGCAGTGGCTGGGGTCTGTGAATGTGAAGGGAGAGAAAGGTCGACGACTCAGCGCATTTTCTTCACAATAAAAAATCTGACGTGCTTAAAGTTACCACGGCGTGCTAAATGCCATGGCTTGGAATGTTGTCAACTTACGGGATAACCTAGACCTCGCAGGCGGTCCAGTGTTGTGTGATTGTTTGGGGCGGGCGACAGGTGCTCTAAGAGCCAGGCTAAAGGGCTCCTTCCTAATGTGGTTTTGATGGCACTCCCATTCCGTGGGATCCAAGCCAGGTGTGACGGCACGCCTTGGAGTGCCTTCGGCCGCGCAAACCTCTTCTGTTATTGGTCAAAATCCTGGTCGTCTGCTGTGTGGACCAGGGGATGTGGAGTGGAGCGCCAAGGTGCGGGCTCGATCGCGCCATCTACCTGCGCCCTCCCCCGCCTCCGGAGCTATGCTCCGCCTAGCGGCCAGACTCCATTAGTCACCCCGACCGTGGAGCTAAGCCGGATGGGGGTATCCGGAATTATGTGCGTCCCCACACCCGATAATTCTGTTTTTGACCCCAGTCCTCCGCTCACCTTGTTCCACGGGTTCCTTCACACACCCTCCACCAGCTTCCCCTCCTATCTCCTCTCTCTCACCCTCCTCCCACTCCAAAACACCCTACGGAGGGGATGACATGCGATCCCGTAGGCGGTCCAGGTTAACTCTGGTAGTTCCCCCAGTAAATGGAGCAGTGACCCATAGTGGAGTTAGGCAGCCGTCTGGGACGTCCCAACAACCCCACTCCGTGGGGAAAGGGGCTAGAAAAGGTGTCCTAAACAAATGCTGAGGTCGCGTTATCTTCTAGTAAACCATGGCACGTAGATGGATAACTCGCGGTCAAAAAACTACAATGAACATTAACCACCCTCGTTCCCCCCCCCCCCTCCGCCCCATCTCACAGGCAACCAGGGTGAGTCTGCTCACACTGGCAGCCTGGAATTTTCGTTCCCCTTTAGACAATCCGCGGAGGAAATGACTGGAACGATGGAAGGCGCTAATCGCTCGAGAACTGGTGTGCCACAAAGTGGATATGAAATGTGTAAGTTCGGGGTCAAGGATAACGCGCCCTTAGTCCAGATTTCATGGTACACTGCCGGTCCATCATCAAAAGGAGTTCGAGAAGGCCTATGCACTGAAAGGGGGCTTTTGACGGCGTTAAGGATCTCAACCTAAACGAAATGGTTATGTTTTGGCTAGACGTCTCGTCTCTTTTTACGAACGTACAGGTCACAGAAACCGTCAACTACCTCTGTGAATTCATTGCCTCTAATCATCAGTGTATAGGAATTCCGGCGGATGCACTCAAGGAATTGCTACCGCGATGTACTCTAAACGTACAGTTCCTCGTTGACAACAGTCTGTATAGACAAATAGACGGAGTAGCTATGGACTCGCCCCTTGGTCCCCTATTGGCCAACGTATTCATGGGCAAGCTAGAATCTTTCGAACTTAATCGCCAGACCGATGGTCTTAGATATCATGAACGCTACGTGGATGATATATCCGCAATTGCAGCTGAACAAAACGACCTTTCGGTTCTACTGGACGATATCAATCAGGTGCACCCATCAATCAAATTTACTCTGGAAGAAGAGCAATTCGGACCGCTCCCTTTTCTGGATGTACTTTTGAATAGAAGGCCTGGCGGTAGCATTCGATGTAGCGTCTATCGTAAGAAGACGTGATCCCGGCAATGCACAAATTTTGGGAGTTTCGTGGCCGTTAAACATTAAGCGCGATTTAGTCCGCCGTTTGAAAAAAAAGAGTAAGGAGGATCTGCTCGGCTGGTATAGAGGAAGAACTTAAGATTGTCGCAAATCTTCCTCGCCAGAACGGGTACCCCGGTCGATTCATTGCCATGTACATGACCGAAAGACCAGCAAAACCCCCGACGCTGACGGTAGAAAAGAAGAAACTTTTCATCAGAGTACCGTTTCAAGGGGACGCGCAAAGTGAACTTCTAAGAAGGCACCTAACTCAAGACGTATCACGCACCTTTCCAGCAGGTGACGCCCGTGTACTCTTCTCCGCTAGTCCTATCCTACACGGAGAGGGCAAGGACAGACTGCCAGTCCAGACCACTTCCATGTGTATTTTCTCCTTCACCTGCCCATGTGGGGCAGTATTGGTCGCACGAGCCGGCGTTCGTCCAAAAGAATAGGTAAACGCCTTTCAGCATGGTTAGAAAAGTGCCAAATAAGGGACGTCAACAGCTCTATCCTCAGCCACATGGTAGATATAGATTACTGCGTAGATGCCGGACAGACCTTCCGAGTGATTTACGAGGTTCCGTCAAGCTATCCAAAATAACTTGGACAGCGTCTGTTGGCAACTGCAGAGGCGGCTGCAATCAGGCTATACAAACCAGGCCTATGCATACAGGAGAACTTCGTACAGGCCCCACAGTTATCATGGGCGAAAGCCACCTACGTGTAATCGCCCGTCCCAGTGCCCACCATCCCCTTCTCCCCCCTGACATTCACGGTAGTTATGTTTTTCGCTTCACCCACCTACTCCCTTCCCCCACCCCTTAAAAAAAACCCCAGCTGCAGATTAAATTCCGTTTGCCCGCATTTTTTCTTTATCATTTCGATAGCAATATAAATGTATAGGCCTGACAAGAATCTATCGAAAGCTTAAGTATGCTCGCCAAATTGTCTTTTGAAGGGCTTTTATTTACTTCAATCAACGCAGCCCGAGAAAGTCAGCACGCTAGGATCAACATTCTTAAGACATACGGTCCAGTCGGATGACCATCTGGACGTTCCAAAAACACCAATAATCTCTATGGTGTAAGTAAATACAAGTATGCGCGTAGGTTACATTATGCACCACACTTGGTAGCACTGGTGGAAGGCTAGACACGTGCCTCGCCGATATGTTGGAGGGTTACGAATACTACACGGCTAGCCCCCGGTGGCTGACGAACTTCAGGCTAAATATTCGTATCAGCTTCCGGTCTGAGACTACATGGCTTATTTTAGGCTGACTTACTACAAGTAAGCAATCAATTCCGACGGATATTAAGGGTCCGCAAAAGAAGATATCGAAATGCCCCAGACCTAGGGACAAACTAATGGAAGACTTACTGCCCTCTAACGACGTAGTTCGACCTTTACAAACGACCAGGTCCATCACCGTCCTACGGGCTGAATCCATCAACAACCTGGTCCCTTCTATCCCACCCTCTCTCTCTCTCTCCATACCTACCATGTCCCAATGACAACCCCAAATCATTCATGGTGGACGTGGCCGCAGAGACCGAAAGAAAGAAAGCAGTCCGTCTGCACACACCGTAGGGGACCACGACCCTGACTCTATATGTGGCAGGTCTCGTTAGGAGGGTCCCAGCTCTGACCTAAGGGTGCCGTAAGGTCAAGACAAGGATCCATCGCTGTCTGATCCTCTGGTGATAGCGCGGACCCTCCCAGTCGACTGGTAACGCTCAGGCGCAAGTTATTAAGACGGTAGCGGCGGCGGCGGTGGTACTCGGTGAGAACGACTAACTCACCGGTGGAGCCCCTGTCAGATTGCAAACACGCGTTGTGCAAACATGCAGATGGCACGCCGAACCCCTTAAACTAAGCCTGAAGCTGTTAACTTTGGGTATCACGAAAAAGGCGCCGTAAGTAGAACTCTTTTGTCTTCAAGGAGCCCGTTCAAAATAAGAGCAGTTAGAGCTGACTGTTTGTTTTCAATAAGTCGTCCTCAGACTGAATCTTCTACTCCGGTTCTCGCGTCCACGAAATGTAAATTGCACGCCCGCGGTGGATATCTTGCGATTATCACCAGATAGGCATAGTGAAGTAATCAAAAGCACTCAATCCAGTTCAGGCATTAAAAAAGTGTTCTCGTAAAACGCATGTGATACAAAAGTACTCTGTAAAGGATGCGATGGTGAAGAAGTAAATGAAAGTCAGGCGGACGTGATGTGGTCCATTTCTGAGTCCTGAATCGCAGACTCATCCTTTGTCATGGGCTCAGACGTACACTCGGACTCGGCAGCAGCAGCAGCAGCAGTCGAACTGGCGACACCTCGCCGATAAGCTCTCTTGTACTTTTTCGTCTCCTCCTCATAGCGTTTGATGTCTGCAAGGTAGTTCTCGTAGTCAGGTGACATGTCGCGAAGGTAGTCCGGATGAACAGTCACTTGTGGGAACCATTCTGGCAACATGTAGGGTTTTAGCCAGCCTACCAGCGGCGTTGCTCCTCGTTTGTAGGCCACATCCCCGTGATAAAAAAGAACCCCATCGAGCTACAAAGGTGGCAACAGACAGAAATGGGTCGCTCAGACAGGAAATATGCGGTCAGGTACTAATCACAGGCAGTAGGTGGAAACCGACTGCTACCTAACAAGCTCGGCATTACGTAGTGACGTAGCAGTTGGGTTGCCCCTTGGCTCTGAAATTTTAGCCTCAGCAGGTGCGTGACCTCGGTTACTTCAGGTATCAATTCACGCGCGCTTCCCTGCGTGTGCTTTGAGTCCTGCTTGCTCCCTCTTTATTATCTCAATCCGGCGAGCGGCTAGGTAAACTTGCTAATGGAATTGTTCGCATGGTGTGGAACTCCGTCGGTCCCACTACAGTGGCCATGCACTGCGAATTACCTCGCGGTTCCCTCTGTGGCCTTCCAGTTGTGATTACGCCCTCCTTATCCTCTTAACTCAGCGAGTGGCCGTGTCGGGTGGTGTGTGCACGCCACCTTCACTCATTTTCATGCGCGTGCTTCGAGCTCTGCCGACGCTCTCCTTCCCTTCCTTATCCAGCGAGTGGCTAAGTTAGGTATGTTAACCAATAGTGACTTAGTAAGCTAACCATACGGCATCAGAACCAAACGGACTGCAGATCCAAACCTCATACTTAATTTTTTTCCTCCAGCTCAAAGGCAACTGAGCTGGGACCTCATCCAGGCCGTAAATGCACCAAAGAGTTCGAAGACGTCCTTGAACTAACTGGAGCGGACGATCTGCGTGATCACCACTTTACAATGCAGTGGAAGTCGGGCCATAAGGACGGCTAACGGATCGCCTTCTCGCAAAGTTGTTGGGACCTGGGACAAACTCCCTGCTGCGGTGGTGCTTTTAGACACGTAATACATTTAAATCCAGGGTTAGTACTAATTTGCCGAGAAATTACCGTACAGAAGATCAAGGTTATATCAGTGGAGGCAGTTTGCGCCTGCCCCACATATACCGATGACCACATTGTCTAGAATTACTGCTGAAAAAATTGGTTCCCTTGTCTTCTTTCAGATATGAACAGAGAGTTAATGGGTGAGAAACTAACTCACTAAACCAAGTGACTTGAAGTAAGTAAAAATCCAACTAATTTGCAAATGGGCAGTACCCTACTACAACAAGGTACGAAAGCCGCAGTCAGAAGGACTAAAAAGAAAGCTTTACCTCGAAGGGAGGTTGAAGGGAGAAGACTTGCATCATGGACTGCTGGTCGCAGGCGAAGGCCGGAACAATCTCGAAACGCGCCTACAAAGAAAGATCATGTCATAAACTCAACATAAGTCCACTTGAGTGCCACATAGGTGTTCGTACGTTATGACCCTTTTTTGCTCGCGGTGGTGGGAAACCGCCCACTGAAAAATCTCGGTCTTCCGTACTGGTAACAAGGTAGGCAAGTTCACATACTGTTCGTCTCTTTGCAATGCATTGCAACGTACTCTGCCGTGATTTTTTGGTAACTTGTAGGGAGCACTTGCACAAGCATCACCCTGACACTTATCGACTTTGTACTGGGTCCCGAGCAAGCCTGATGTAGATTGTACTTTGCATCAACGAGTTACGTGCCTTATTGAAGGACCATTTCCTACATCAAAGGAGCCTTCGAGGCAGTCTCCTGATACACTGGGGTGGGCATGGCAAATCCTCAGCAGATTCGGATAAGATTTATAAAACCCCATGCAACAATAATAAGGCAGCAACATAAGGCAATTATTAAAGGGTTGAGTGCAGACCAAGATGTGTCGGTGGTAGCTGTTAGAAGAGTGGAGGACAAAACCACCGGGCCCACGCTTTTGAGCGAAAAGGAACAAATGTCACCTTAGAACTGGTCTCATGTTGAGGATTCTCAGTAGGATATCTCAGTTACAACAACTCAAAGAAACATTGTCGCCAAATGGACAGAACAATTCAAGCAAGAACCCAGGTACTTTATCAATAAAGGCAAGAGAGACCGGACTAGCCACTTCTGATATTTTTAAGACCGCCCACGCGGGACTAAAGCGGAAGCGGAATGCCCATATTCTATTCTGCAATCAGGCCTGATCAGTGAGTGTCGTGCCCGCGTAAACTATAATCGAGGAAGGAAGCACGACTTGGTTGTGTCGTAGATATCCGGAAATGACCCATAAATAGCATAGCTAACACTCTCGAGGAGTCCAAGCAACACCACCTGCGCTATCATAATAACTTCGTCTGGCGTCCATCAAAACGAGTTTTCAAAAAAAAGGATAATTACCGGGTGTCGTACGGTTTTGGGTGAAATCGGTAAAAAAACGATGGTGACAATCAGTCCCCCATGGTAGCCTGATGATCGTCAAGTCTTTCTGCTTGGATATCTCAGAGAAACCGACCTCCAACTTTTAGAGTTCGAGCTTACCACAATTTAACCACTTTTGACAACTGAACAATCCAAACTTAATTTCCTTCTCCGTGTGAGCAACTAAACAATGGTCCTTCTTAATATTGGCTAATGAAAATCGTGCTCGATCTTTTTCACTCAAATATCTTTGCTGTGCCTTTCATCAACAAAGTTTGCAGATCAACCCTTATAATAGATCCCAGCCACCCTTTCATTAAATACACTATCACAGCGGTTTATACAGTGAGTCGCTGAAATAGCGCATTTCCTAGGTCGTCGGACTCGATCGACGTGACTGACTAGAATTCTTGACGTAGGACATCCTATTAATTCTCTGTAGCGCTTCCCTGCAGTCATGCCCTAATTGGGAATTTCTACGTCAACAGGTATAATTTTGATATACATCACTGTTTCCCCCTAGAGGTTCGGAACGACGACTGGTTAGTCGTCCACCAAGATGGAAAGTTGGGTCCAGAATAATACAGCCCTTTTATATTTTCTGTGTACAAATACCTGATAGTTCTAAAAGGATGACTCAACGACCAGCTAATTCTGTAAAAAACATACTTCCCTACGAAGGAATTAACTAAAAAATACATATTAAAGACAGTAAAAGTGAAATGAGAAGCGTTTTAAGGGTCAAGCAAGAAACCGCATAGTCTTACAACATCACCCAGTTCGAAGGATTCTACCTGTTCGCGGTGAAAGCCCTCCAACCACTCGCAACGCTCTCTAAACTTAAAAAAACAGAAAGAAGTATGAGTAAACTCGCAGTTATGCCTTAGATATCTGAACAGAAACCCGTCTGTGCTCGATCGTACGATGCCCAGTAAATAGACACGAACGGAAAGGGTAAGAAACGGGAACAGGAATCTTCAACGACGTCGATAAGATCCTTGTCAGCGTCCACCTGAGTCGTCTAAACCTTATATTGTCGTAAAGACTTCTGCCCAACAGTCAATACGAGTTCAGATTGCACAGAGGAGCCATTGATATATTCTCCGCCACTCGTCAACTACAAGATAAATGAATATGACACGGGGATAGGAACTCCCCTTCCCCGGTAATACAGGTAGCCTTGCGCAACATTCCAGGAAGGGTAAACATTCCGGTGTCCTAATCTTAACCCAACCCCAAACTTAACCCAGCCTAATACTAAAATTAACCAAAACTTCAATCCAAAAGTGTTGCAGCTAGAATAATAATAATAAGCACGTGAGAGGGAGAGGCACGAACAAAGCGGGATGTGGAAATCAGAACAAAAAACACCCTATAATAGGGCTTTATTCACCTTACACTTGACGTGGTAGAGTAAAAACGAAAAATAGAACAATGGTACATAAGATAGAATTTCTCCGGGGCATAAGTAAGCATGACAAAAACCCAAACCTTAGCTTTGGCCCTAATCCCCAGAATTGGTGGATTTTCTATTCCCGTGACGTGCCGCGAAATGCAATAATGGAAAGCGAGACAAATGGAAAGGTAGATTTCGAAATGGTTGATGCAAGTACCTCGGAATTCAACCAAAACTCGGCGATAAAAGAACACATAGACCTCTGAAAACTCTGTGTGGTGCAGATACACCGAGAATTGTAAGTGGCTACTAACTCGTAAAAGAAATAAATTACGAGTACATTTGGAAATACAGACACACTTTTTACCCACTTGTCGTCATTAACAAAATGTATGATCTTTCGAAAATCAGATTTGGTCAATGTGCTTTAGTTTGCATCCAGAAACGAACGACTTATTAATTCAATCAAGATATTTTAAACCGGAGTGATGAGGCCAAGCACAGTCTTGCATAAAAAAGAATTGGCCAACTCAATTAACATGAGCACATCTAACAACTGCTTCGAACTTCATTAGTTCGTCGGAAAGATACCAGAAAACGAACTGCAAGAAACAGACTTGTGTGCTGAAGCGCACTAAACATGGTAGCTGAATATCAGAATATTTACCGATGGTACGTGGAGGCTAATCCTTTCGTAACGCTGACGAATTCTGTAGCCCAAAAATGTCCTCGGGCTCTTTCACTTCGAAGAAGTAAATGTCTCCTTGCATGACAGTGCTAAATAGAACAGTGCGCATTCAATACAAAAAAGTTGCGAAACCCCGGCCAGTCCAATAAAGTCGGTAGAAGTGGTTTGGACCCATTAGCATTGGCTGCCCAAGAAGCCCGTGCTGTCCTATATTTGACGAAGCTGTGTAACTGGAGGTGGTGGAGGGGGGCTCAAAAACCGGACTTAACAGTAGTCCATCCAGGTATACGAAAGGTTCTTTGATTCTGCGTACTCGACCCTCATCGCAAAGAGGTGAGTTGGACTATTCGGACCCGCAAACAGTGACTGTCTGACGTTGAGTAGCGCATCTGAGATATCGTTAACGTCGGCTAAATTGGGCGCGATCAGTCGTTTCGGGTATGTACTTGGTCGATATTCTACGCTAATAAGCCTACATGGATGAGCTAAAGCGCGATCATATGTTATCCATGGAATTGCTGTTTCTCAAAAAAGGGCAGGTGGATACATGCTAACTCGAAAAACTTGAAAATTCCTTTTTTGTATGTGATCACATATACTGCAAGTAGTAGGGTTCAAAAGTAGTGACAATTACCTCCATATTGCAGGAAAGGATTTAAAGAAAACGATAGCAAAATGGAATGCCTGAGAATCCAGTAGTCTTTTATAATTCTAAGGTAGGAGTAAGGCATTCGGTCGGGGTCTAATTAAGGGCACTAACTTTCTGATGTACGTAAGACGTTGATCGAAATTTGACGAGATCCAGGACTTTGAACAAAAGGGGTTCGGATGATGAGGAAGCGGGGGAAATTGTGTCCTCACCGTCTGGCCGCTCTTTGGTCTGGTGGGTCATCGAGGCGGTCGGCACGCCTATCATGATGCAGTCAAGTACCGTCTGATAGCGGTGCATTTGAGATGAACTTTGGCCAAGTCCTCCCCCAGGCAAACGCGTTAAGAGAGTGGCAAGACAAAGGCCAGTCCGCGAATAAACGCTAGTTTGCCCCTGAATAGCAGAACAAAGGACCGGGAATGGTAAAACTAGAAGCCAAAGACAAAGTATGCCGGTAAATGCCAAAAATAAACAATACGGTGTAAGGTAGAAAGAGCAAAGCCACGAGGTTAGCACTTACGCATATGAGAAGTCGGGCAAAAGGATCAGATTTTGGCCAGAACTTTCTACTTCCAAGATCACTGGACAAATGTTACACTTGAGAAAGAACTCTAAACATAGTCAACTAAATACAGTCGAATGCTTCGGGAATGAATGAAACTGGTGACAGTATGGTCAGCATACAACCATGGTGGTTGTCTGCAAAATATAATAATCTGTATTCATCATGAATAAATAAACATAAACGATAAATAAATAAATAACGTAGGTCCGAAAGTGAAAATTCAAAAATTCCAAAGCAAAATCTGCTCAGCCTAAGGACAGACTCTCAAAATAGGCTGACTATGCATGTGTTGCGTAATAATGAAAATTGTCAGCTCTAAAGAGAAACGGGGCTGTAAAAAACAAAGGCAACCGGGGTTCTAAATTCTAGCGGCCTGAAGGTTCTACGACCGCTTCAGACTACGTTCTACGTTTTGAGGAAATCAGGATCCGATGGGTGTCGGGACAACTGACGCCATCGTGCATTGAAACTTAACGAATTTGAAGTTGAGCCGGGAATCTAAGAAACCGTTCAGCCATAACAATAAACATACACCTCTGGCCTAACGTACTCTGACTATAACTTACAACGTGAACAGCGAATACGTGCATGCAACAAACAAAACAAGGATTTGATGAAGAGGGAGTAAATGGGTTCGGTTACCTTTTCAGCAATTACCAATACATGTCTCCCCTTAGGGCAGAGTTTGAAGAAGTAGTCCTCCTCAAAGGTGGGTGGCATAAAGAGAAACCATTCTGCCAGCATGAGCTGAGCCGACTGGTCATTACAGTTCTTAAACGGTCGTCTGTCTCTGGGTTTTGAAGACCACGGATTAACAGATTTCGTGTCGTCTAGTTGTCTGCGTAAGTCAAAATTGTCCGCTCTCTTGTTTTTCCGACGGAAATTCTCAAGCTCTAATCTCCAGCGTCGTTCTTGATCAATGGAGTAGGCATGATTCTTGTAAAGGGCCAGTCGTGGGCGCATCGAAGTCTCCGCAACATCGACGCTTTCGCCGTTGGCACCTATCAGGCTTGAAAATGTAAATGATAGTGAGCCTATGCTCTCATCCGTGTCCATCATCTAAGCAAACGGGCAACGACCGTATCATAGAGAATCGCCACAAACAACACCCGGTGCCACAAATGCCAGATAACGAGGAGCAAACTGGGAAGTTCGCGGCACACACTTTTGCGAGACCGCCAACGCTGCGTGCATTTCTTATTGGTTGTCAACACTAGCTCGCTGATTAGTTCATTTTTCAAGCGAGTTCTTATTAACATTCCTGGCACGCAGTGTCAACAAAAGAATCGCTATTTTTGAAGTTTCAACATATTCTCTGAAGTAATAAATTTTCATCTTTCGTCGAGTAAGACGCAATCAGGTTTTTTCAGAAACGATGACGTACATGTTATACATCGATGAAAATCAAACCTGCTAATTCTCACAAATTTCCATTTAGGAGCCCGAAGCTGAGATGTTCGAATGGCCGTATTTTGTTGTAAGAATCGTTGCAAGAAGTGTTGGGGGCATATTTAGGGCTAGGATTATGACGATGGTTTGGATAAAGGTTGAGCCTAGACTTTGTTTTAACGCTAGGAGTCCACCGCGAGTGCCAGCAGTTTGCCAAGCGTCGAAACGATAAAAGGGACTTCAGCGGCCGCGAAAAACCGCAGTAAAGAACAAACTATTAACGGCTTTAACATCCAATTATAAACAAGGGAGTTGACTCCCAAAAATCGTTAGAATAAAATTGGACTTTCCACCCGAAAATCCAGGCATGTAAGGTGACCCTTAAAACCCAAGAGGTCCGTTTTTAGGTCCAGAAGTTGAGGGTTTAGAAATGCTACGAACAGCAACGGTTGTATACCTTTCGATGTAAGATGCCTTTGTAATTTACGCTCAACTATCCATGATTTATACGACGACCAACTAGTGAAAGATTACTTCGAAGGAAAGTATATTTAGAGGCAAAAAAACGAACTTTTGCAAATAAAGCATACACCTGTGCGATCACCGTGGATGAGTTGCGAGTGACAATGGGTCGACCTGCTGGCACGCAAATGTATGTAGTTGGGAGACTTGGCTAGGATCAACGCGAAATGCCGGGACGGGGCAAAAAAGGGCTACGGCGTCGCTAGTCCCGTCATAGCCCTACCCCCGGCAAAGCCCCGCCGAAATGAGGCAGAGCCCCTCCTGGCCCCGGGGTGTTGACGGGTCCGGAGGGGACTGGTGCTAGCAGGGGAGCAAGGGCTGCATTCGAACGTTCTAACCCTTTAAACTTTAACGGCTGCTTATTGACACCTCTCAATATAAAAATACTAGACCCAGCTTAAGGGGTTACCTTAGAGTCAAAACTCTGAACATTTCCGATTTTACTACGTCGTGGTAAATGCTTGTGTGTCGACGCAAAAGCATTCATTATACCGGACAAAGTCAGCTAGGTTTTAGGCTGTGATAAACAAACACGTTAAAAGGTCTAAGGTTTAATTCCAGAAGAAGAATATTTCACACTATGTAACCACACATCAGCGCAGCAACTGCAGAAATCCGATCTGCCTGGGGTGATAAAACTGAGACCGTTTATGGGGAAGCATTCCAAAAAGGAATATTTTGAAATACCATTGGACCAGGAAACTTGTTGGGACCGAAGCACACGAAACTACACTTGGGAGAAGAGAACTGCACATGCGAAGTCGAACTCCATTCTCATTGACAAATAGGTTCGCAGTTTATTCGGCCGACGTAAGCAATTTCGTTGTCTTTTGAGAATTAACAAACGCACTTACGGCCATTAGCATAAATGAACGTCTGCGGTAATGACGTCTTTCGAATTTGGTTTTAAATTTTCGACCCCCGAGAGATTCAAATTTTCCGACACTCCTGCCTACTGGCCGCCCTGACGGCCCGTTCGACTTAAGAAATCGATTCGCCTTGCTGGTATCGTGATTCACACAGGACCACAACAGGACTTTCGTCAGAGAAACCTAATTCATTCCGACCACATCTTTCACAGCAGCACACCGAAATTCCCAAAATCCAAGAACTGGCTTGAAAGATTTTCCACACCGCCAATACCTTTCAAGTTTGTATACTTAATAATAGTAGTTGATCAGGTGCCCTCTCAAGATTGTACAAAAAGTCCGCCTCCAGCTGGGCTCGATCCTGGGCACAAGAATGACGCTAAAAATGTCGCCGCCACTGGGCCACTGACGGCAGACGGCTTGAAAAAATGGCAAAATAAACATTGGACGTTGTACAAATGACTACTGCGCTACGTTTTCTGCTGTCGACTGACCCCGCCAAACGCGCAAGGTGTTTGATAGCCTTACTAGACGTCAGGCACGAAGACGAAACATGTGCGGCATGTTTTAGACTTCTTCGAAAATCCTAAAAGATGGAGAAGGAGATAAGGAACATAAAAAATGAGATGGAGACTGAGATGAATCTTCCGCAAAATTCTCCGAAAGGAGAGAGCCGGCGATATCGGAAATCCAAAAAATAACTAGATACATGTCAATAGAACTTCAGTAACGGTATTAATACCTGAGAAAGAAGACGGCCCGTCTACAAACTTAACCATAACCGAGGAAAGGTCTCATGGGCGAGAGAAAAACGACCGAAAGGAATCTCATAAAGGAAGAAACGCCTCCATGCATCCCGAAAAGACGAAGTAGGTTAGAATGCCAGCATGAGATAGCAGAGTCCACGCATAATTTAAGCAAATGCCTATTCGCCAAAAGGGGTGCCAAATGGCCAAGAAACCTCGATAGAAGAGAAATCCTGTGGTAGCTATGTCATGGCAACCGTCTTTGAATTAGACAATGATGACAACAGAAATTGGTGCGATGCAGGCTTTGCATTTAAGAATAAACGATAGGGCCCTAAATTTGATCGGTGTAAATGCATCGTCCTGATGGATATGCCTGAGTCTACTTCGGACATCCCGAAGGACGGAATAAACCACGAAATGGAATTATACCAGCAATACCTCAAATGTATATTAGAAGAGAACGAGAACATCACCGTCTTGAAAGCTTTCAGCATGAGAATAATTAAGGGCTCGAAGAGCGAGTCGAGCCATCACAGACCACTAAAAAAGTTCTTGAAAATAAGAAACAAGCTCTCATGCTGCCTAACAGGAAACCAGAACTCCGAGACGCCCACCCAACAATGTGTTTTAGCGGGACTTCTCACCAGCCGAACGGGAGAATGGAGGGAACTCAAGGCCGAGTTCTCAGAGGGTCTAATTCCAGTGAGAAAACATAGGAATATTGAATGGGAACATCGTAAATGTCTTAAGCTCATTCCTCTGGAGACAGCCAATAAAATTGTGTATGGTGAACAACCAGATTATGATGAAAGAACTCTCCTATCAGTCAAACCGACCAGAGAAAATGACGGCCAACACATTGACGCACAGTTCGATCAGATAGCAGTAGATTCTAAAGTGGACGATGAACAAAATATCCAACAACTTCGACCCCAAAATCGTTCGGAAATCTGTCCGGGCTAAGCTCCGCATTCTTTATGCAAACACTCGGAGTTTGTTTCAGAAGGTAGATGAGTTGGAAGTGTGGATATCAGAGACGCAGCCGGATGTCATTTCCACCTCAGAGACTTGGCTGCAGGCTGAAGCCTAGGATGCCGAAATTGTAATCGATGAACACCAACTTTTTTGTTGAAATAGGCTGCATAAAAAGGAGGGGGACTAGCGAAATACGTCAAGAGATGAATCATCACAACTGAACACAAAACTGATTGCTCCGTGATTGCGAATCAATGTGGTCAATAGTAAGGATGCCTGGCGCACCTAGTCGGAATTTCCTAACTATGTACAGGCCACCTAATGAAAGTCCTGAGGTTGACGAGGCGATATTTGAGTTAATAAAAGAGGTAACGCAAAACCAAGAAACGCTGATAACCGGATATTTTACGCACCGATGGTCGACTGAAACAATTTATTAGTAAATAGTTCACGAGATTCCTTTGATTCCAGGCACTTGAAGATAACTACTAATCTCTTTCTTGTACAGAATATCAGAGAGACGTAAAGGGCAAATTTTCTGAACCTCGTCCTTACAAAAGACCCAATTAGTGTTGGGGAACTTAGGTCCATAGCACCGCCCCGTAAGAATGACCATATTATGCTGCTTTGGGAATACCGCCTATAGAGTCAACAAATGGATACGACTGGGCCTCGGCTGAATTTTAACAATGAAATGTCGCTACCACGAGAAGGAAATTATCGGTAGTGAACTGGCATAACTTTCTTGCTGGACATCCCGATGTTGACTGGAGCGCTAATCATTTCTCTTAACGGACTACTAATTCAGAAACTATGAATTGCATTTTGTACAGATTTTGCCTACCTCGTCTAAGATTCGCATGTAAATTTATTTTTACTTGCTTTGATGGGACCCGACGGGTCTTTAATAAAAATTATTATTATTATAACACTCTCAAAGGAGATGTAGCCGACGTCTTGCATCGAAACTCCCCGACAAAGAGAGTCCAAAAGACAAGCGGTCCTGCTTGGTTAACGCAACATATTAAGCAAGATGTAAAACGGAAGAATAAACTCTGGAGGTAGTATGTAGCAATAGAACAACCCTCGCATTTTGAGCGGTTTAGCTGAAAGCAAAACTGGGTAAGGTCGTCCATCCACAGATCGCGGAAGGAGTATGAAACTCGAGTTATGAAACGGGCCGTCAATAAACCAAACGTGCTCTTCAGTTATATCAGCAGCAGGTTAAAGAACAAAGAGACGGTCCCGGTGTCGAAAGGAGAAAACAATGAGGGTTTTACTAAGAATGACGCTAAAGCAAAACATTTTATCCGGCTTTCTGCATCGTTTTCACCGATGGAACGGACTTTGACGAAGCTGGATTGTCTACTGGAACAACTGAGGAAATAATGGAAAGCATCGACTTCACACAATAAGATGTGGGGAAGGAGATTCTAACGCTCAAGTCGTGTAAGTCTCCGGGTCCGGACCAGATACCCGCAAATGTTCTGAAGGAGCTGGTTTGCGAAATCGCCAGACCGCATTTGCATATCTTCAGGTCGTCCCTTGACCGAGG